TAGTTGAATGTGCTCTTAAGAGGTGGGCCTAGTTGGCGGAAGTAGGTCCAGGGGGTGTAACCTGGAAGGGTATGTTCTTGTTCCATTCCCTCCCTCTCTGTGGAGATCTTCCCTTGTGCTTCAGTTCTTCATGGCTGCCAGCTTTCCTCTACATGTCCACCATGATAATTCTGCCTTGGAGCCAGCAAGCCATGGACCAAATCCTCTGAAACCATGAGCCAAAATAAACCTTTTCTCCTTCAAGTTGTGTATGTCATGTATTTTAGTCACAATGGCAGACTGCTGATCACACACTGTATTTCTACTACCTGGGCTAAGATCTAAAGACGTTATCTATATCATATCCCTAATTCTTACAGTACAGTTAAATACTTGCCATTAATTCTTTACTACAATCTCTCAGCCTTTTCTATTAACACAGATTCTATGCCAATCCTGCCTCATCTTTTACTTGGAAATTGTTTTTTCTAAACCCAAGTAAAGACCTATGGTTGCTCCTATTAAATTTCATATTGTTAAATTTTCCCTGTTCAAAATTTTTTAGAATCTCAACTTTACACACTCCTCCTGTCTGCTATACTCAAATGTGTCATGTATACCTATAGTACACACCATATCACCACTGATCGAAATTATGAATAGGCCAGAGTATTATCTTAGTTACTTTTCTCATTGCTGAAACAAAATACCCAAGACCCAAAGTTAAAGCAGGAAATGTTTATTTAGCCCAGTTTCTACAGGTTTCAATCTATAATCAGCTGGCTCCAAGGCAAGATAGCATGGAAGACAGGCATCACAGAGGAGAAACAGTTCACAGCAGGTAGAGGGTAGCAAAACAAGCAAAAGGCTACCACAGCTCTTTCTGTCCCTTATATCTTATCCAGGCTACTTGGGGCAAGTAGCACTCACATCCTTAATCCTAGTGCCCTTGAGCCTGGCACTGAACCATGAATCAATCCCAGTGGCATACCCTCAAGATCCAGCCACCTCTGAAAAAGCCCCACCTGTAATTGTATGTTGCTTTTGGGCATCTACACACAGGCTATAACAAGTATGAAGAGTCTTATACCACATAAGAAATCTCCCTAAAGTTCAGTGACTCTTGAATTTCACTATGTACATGAATTGCTAAGGAACTCCTATTCTCTGCTTCTGATGACATGAAGATGATGATTTGGAAGGTTTAGGACAAGGTTTAGCAATCTATTTTCAACACCTTTCTCCAAGTCAGTCTCACAAGGCTGATCTTCAGACTGCATTTGCAAAAACACTGTCTGTCCACTTTGGTACTAGTTACTAGCCAGCTCCATTTGGGTATGGTTACTCTGGTATAATCCAACCATCTTCAGGTCCTGCCATGTTTCCTGCCACTTTTAGAAAGTTATGATGAGAATAAAGTTTGATCAAATGACTTAGTAAAATCTTAGTGTACTGGGGCTGGGGAGATGGCTCAGCAGAATAAGCGCTTCCCTGGCAAGTATAATGGCCTGAGTTCAATCCCCAGTTCCGCAAAAAAAAAATCTTAGTATACTAGTGCTACTATATTTCTCTGTTCTACCAGCCTATAAAAGGAAGAAATGATGCAAATATGATTTGCTCTTAGTGAATCTGTCCTATGTTGGCAACCAATTCTTCCTTAGGCTCAGTGCCCAAAACTCACTCCTTCCTGATCTAAAATCTTACAAGGGTTTCAGGGTCAAATGCACTGGTTGCTAATTAAGAGAACAACTTTACAGATAATTGGAACTGCCCTTATCTGTCTCTAGCCATCCAGAAAATATTATCTTTTAAAAGCACTCAAACACTATGGACGGGCCAGGGAGATAGCTCAGTAGGATAAGCGCTTGACAGGCAAATGCAAGGATCTGAGTTCAATCCCTGGTTTTGCAAAAAAAAAAAAAACAAAAAAAACAAAAAAAAAAAAAAACACTATGAACAGTTGCAAGTTCCTTGTGAATCATCTTGGATTCACAAGGCCCAAAGGACTTGAATCCATTCTAAAAAGCTTCATGTTGCCAATGATCATTCTACCTTTTGCAGTATGAAGATCAATTTTCCTTGGCAGAAAAAAACAGAAACAAAGCAGATTCTTCAGTTCTGCTTTCTCTACACCACCTATCAGTAGTACACTATCAGTTTCAAATAGTAAAACCATCTCCTTTTTCTTCTTTTCTTGTACCAAACATAACTTAAGTCCCCTAAATCTTTCTTAGCAATTCTTGCAGGCTTCCACTCATTAGTGCCTTTAATTTTCCAGTTGCTATTCATAATAGATCAAAGCCTCCTTGTTACATTTGTATTCATTTGATTCACTTTTCCTGTGTTTTTTCAAAGCTAGTCTCAGAGTTACAAAAAAACTTTTGAATTTGGGTGATAGTTAAACAAGGGTTCATCAGGCTAGCTGTACTATTTTTAATTTTTTTCATAATAAAAAAATTAAGTATATAAATAGAAATACTTCTGTAAACATACAGCAAGAGTACAGATCTCCCATTTATTTTTTTCTTGGGATATATTTTTTCCCTAAACTTTGTTTTTTCCAGTGGGATAATCTGTTTTGGACTGAAGTCTTAATTATACATTCTCTAAACTTCCTAATCTTTATAATTCATCTTTTTGCCCAGATTTCTGTGCCATTTTTCTTTGACTACATTTTGTTTGTACTGTTCAAAATGTACCTCTCAAAATTCACACTATATAATTCTCTTATTCTTCCTTCTTTTCAGGAATACAAATTTTAAAAATTTACTAATTCTCCTTTAGGGCACTGGTTTGCAAATTCCTCGGCCCCACCTGACCTATAGTTATAGAAATGTGTGGAATGAATCCTGGGAAATTGTCCAAGAGAATTTTATACATGTTAGGGTTTGAGAATAACCTACTTAAGGAGAAGTAACCATTCCAATGCAAAAAGGTATCAGATAATTCACTTTTAGAAAAACACAATTTCCATCAAGTGCCTCATGCTTCCACTTCTCTATTCTTGTTCTTTTAGTCTCCTTTTGATGATGTTTACCTTCCTTCCACTCTCATAATCTCAATTTTCTATGTAGTTATCTTGCCCTTTAATAAATCTGAGTTGTTTTTTTTTTTTGTTTGTTTTTTGTTTTTTTTTTTTGAAACAGGGTCTCAATATGCAGTTCAGGCTGGCCTTGAGCTCACTTCATTAGCCAAAGCTGGCCTCAAACTCAGAGTGATCCTCCTGCCTCAGCCTTTTAAGTGCTGGGACTATAGACATGTACCACCTTGCCTGGCCTAAATAATTCTTCTTCTTAAATGAATAAATAAAAATGCTACCCAGTAACAGAAATAAAAATAAAACCCTTAACACATTAAACCATGTAAATTCTCCAATAAATGGAACAGTTGTGTATTTTTGCTAAAATAGTTTACTAGTTAGAACAGTTATAAAAAGAAAGTAGAGTTTAAGCTGAATCATTTTTTAAGCTGAATCATTTTTTAAGCTGAATAATTGCTGAATAATAATTTTTAAGCTGAATAATAATTTTTTAAGCTGAATTATTTTTTTAAAAAAAAATCTATTTCCAATAAGAAAATAAATAGTTCAGTATTCACTAAATATTAAATTACTATTTCTAATATGTGACAAAAAAATTTAATGTAAAAATATAAATTTTGAAAGGAAAGATTTGCTGGTAAAATATATAACCACATTTAGAAAATATACTTCTAAATCTTATTTTCATTTATTCAAACACTAACTTGCATGAATCATGTAACCTTTGGAAGTCCAGTTCTAGCCACCAAAATTGAACCTAAAGATGAACTGCAAGAAATGCTTTGACAACTGGCTCAAACATGACTCCTATTTATAAACTCCAGAGTATTATTGTCAGTCCCTTTACTTTGTCATTCACCTTGTGGACAGAGATGCCACTTCAAAGCCTTCACTCCTTCTGTTCACTTCCTCTTCTCTATCATTCCCTCCAGCCTCATCAAGTTTTAATTAAGTCTCCAGCCTGTTTGTGGCTAATAGATATGCTTGCTCAAAGAACGTGATGGTATAAAATACAATAATCTAGGGATGCTTTGGGATTCCTAGACAAAAGATACCCTATAAACATAAATAGTTATGCTTAGGAATCATGGATACAATTTAAGATGACAAAATTTTTCTTTATAATTCTTTTTACAGTATTAACAAAGAAAGTTTTATGTTTTTTTTCACTTAACAAAAACCATTAAAATAAAAACAAAGCTATTTTTCTCCCTTTTAAAGAGGAGCAGATTTTTATATTTTACTCCAGAGAATAAGAATGTTCCTCATAACTGAAATGACTCTATCCCAGGACTACTATAAAAATGTTCATGTCTGCCTTAAAAGGTCTCTGGAGTTCTAGCCAAATCTCTCTCTCAGTAAAATGCCTCACTCAATGTTAATGCTTAGTAAATGTCTGGTATTGAGTGTTCATCTTTTAAAATTATAGTATGTAGGGGCTGGGGAGATGGCTCAGTAGAATAAGTGCTTGCCTGGCAAGCACAAGGGCCTGAGTTCAATCCCTGGTTCTGACAAAAAATAAAATAAAATTACAGTATATTGGCCAGAGCAAGCGCTTAGCATTTGGAAAACCCTGGCTTTGCTTGGGAGGCTAAGGCAGGCTGATCACTGTGAGTTCAAGGACAGCCTGGATTACACAGTGAAAATAAGGCCTACCTGAATGATAGCAAGACCTTGTCTCAAAAACAAAAGCAAAGAAAAAAGGAGCACCAGGGGAACCAGTGGAAAACTCCGGGTTTGATCCCAAGTACCAAAAGAAAAGAGGAAAAAAAAAAAAAAAAGGTAGTTCTGGGATGAATAAATTAACTGGAACTAAAGATTACTTTTTTATCCATTTACTTAACAAACATTTGGTAAGCAGCTATAAATTGCTTCAATCATTTAATAAATATATAAAATAGAGAAAAAATAGGATTTCTATACACCCTTGTTTTGAGACATTCACAGCATGCATACCACATATGTGTGCAGATAATCTTACCTCTCTTACCAATACCTGTGGTGGGAAGGAGACTGAAAACATCAAGTTGGTGAATTCAAACCCCGAGGTCTCAATTTTCTGGCATACCTAAAAAAAAAAGGTTATAGTTACATAAATCCCCAGAAGTTGCTGAAAATATTATTCTCATCTTCACATAAATTTCTGATTCAGGAGATAACATTACAAAACTTCTAAACTTTCTCTTTTGAGGGCTGAGAATGTTCAACAGTAGGGTACTCACGAGCATGCACTAGGCCCTGGGTCCCATTTCCTGCACCACAAAACAAAACATCCCTCTTATAAACATCTAGTATTTGCCCACCATTACCCAAAAGACTAGTATCATAAAGTAAAAAACAGGCAGAACTGACCCCTACAAAATAATGAGTGTCAAAATAGCTATTAAGTCACTTCATAATTTTTTAAATGTTTCAAATGAAAGGAAATTAAATACAGCATTCTAGGGGCCAGGGATTCGATCCCTGGGCCTGCCATACCAGCACCACCCCCGTGGTACACTAAGCAGGTAATTGAGACTGGGTGTGGTGGCGCGCACCTGTAATCCCAACTCTTGGGAGGATGTAAACAGGTGAATCACTACAAGTCTAATCTAGTAGTAAGACCCTGAACACCCTGTAGACCTTTCCCTAAAGTACAAAAAAAAAACGATACTGGGAAGAGGGAATGAACTTATTCAAAAGGAAAGAGTTACTGAGTTCAGAAGGACAAGTG